GACCTTCTGGTCTTAGAGTTACCTCTATGGGAAAACTACGCAAGCACCAAGCCAGAAGCACCGGATCACCCGAATTTGCCTCACATTGGTCAAACCTTCGCCGACGATGTACGGTAAGTTGTGACTATTTATGGCTAGATTGATAGCCGTTTAAAGCGTTTTATTTTTCGTGAAACCACAAACTTGAATAAAAAAAATGTTATAAAATTATATCCTACTACTTTTATTTCCCTTTAAAATCGCAACCTTTATCAAGCAAACAAATTAAAAACAGAAAAACAGCAAGGATTCACACAAAAAATACCGATAAACGGTAAACAATTTTTCCGACGGATTGGTAAAAATTGACAGTTGTGGTAAATTTTGCTTTGCCGATCTCACGGCAATTAAATGTTTTACCGAGATGTTTGCCGAGCGCTCGGCTGTTGGATTCCCGGCACTTCTTTTTACCGGACTCGGCGAAAAAATCTAAGTGTGTATTGCATCTCGTGTATTTCCTAATGTATTGGAAGATTGCCGCAAAGCTCAACGCAGATGTCGCCACTGCATGATGATGATAATGTTGACAGACTGCATATAAAATTCGTGAAAATTAGCATTAAATCATAATTTTCATCAAGCCTGCGTGAAATCCTTCCAATATAACATTCGAATTAAAGAAGAAAACGTTTTTACGATCAGACTGATGTGCATCTTTGACTTCCCCAGGTGAACTTTCATAAGATATATTCATTTCATTTCACGGCTCCCGAGGGGCATGCAATAGCCTTTTTGACTGCGTTGGATTTAAAGTCGAGGGGCACGCAATAACTTTTAACTCCTACGCAAGCCTTTTTAAGTACTTTAATTACGAGCGTCGGAAATTTTTTGATTTAATTACTTTTAAGTACAAATTTCAGCTTTAATTACAAGTCGCATAAATTAAGTACATTAACTCCATTAATGTACCACGAGAAATGTACTTAAATTTCCCCCAGGCCCTTTTGCTACGTTAAGGATAATTTCAGTTGGTGATTGGTGCCATTTCAATACCACCGAGGTGTTGGCAGGGCAATGAACTATATCCTGGATCACGCCCCTGTAAAAGCACCGGAGAATGCGACAATGAAAGGAATGTTTGTTTGTGCTACCTGGTTCAACCTAAGAAATAACGAATTTAATTTGGAGGATGCGAACGAAAACAGAATTACAATAGAAAATTATGTTAAACTTTGCGTGCCTAACGTCTAAGTTTGCATAGATATCAAAATTCAATTAGCTATAAAAACATAATTTCTCAATATTTGTCTTTACAACAAATTGAATTTTGTCTTGAATCTATTGAAGTTTCTGAATACATCTGAAATATTTTGATCAATTCATGGTTCCGGAGTTATTTCGGTTCCCGTTGGGGTCGCTTTTGGTCGGCATTCGGCTTTATTGTTCTGTAATAAGTATACACACGATGAACATCATGTTTTTTTCTCTCAAACGATGTAATTGGACCAGTGGCAGCTATTTCGATGGTTCACAATCACATTGGGCATCCCGAAAATGTTCCGGTGCCCCGGGGAAGTGACCAATTCTCAACAAGAACCAAAACCCATCATGCGACATATCAAACTTCATGATTTTACAAATCTTGGCCAGTAATGGCCTTATTGAGAGTTCATGGTCACACTAGCCCTCCCAGACATGTTCCTGTGTCCCCGGGCAAGTGACCGATTCTCCACAAGAACCAAAACACGTCATGCGACATATCAAACTTTATGATTCTGCTGAACTCGGCCAGTAATGGTCTTTTTGAGAGCCCACGATCCCATTGGCCCTCCCTGGCATGTTCCGGTGTTCCCGGGTGTATTTTCAATTATCGACAAGAACCAAAATCCTTCGTGCAACATATCAAACTTCATGATTCTGCAAGGGCTAATAATGGTCTTAGACAGTCCACAGTCCCATTTAATTGTCGACCTCCCCCCCAACCGGTTAAATATCCAACTCCCAATAAGAACCGGAACCCCTAGTGTGACATATCACACTTCATTATTTTACGAAACTCCGTCGGTAATGACCATATTAAGAGTTCAAATTTGCTATCCCAGACAGCTGAACGGACACTGGAGCTGGTGAATACTTAGGACATTCACACGCTGAGCTACTTCCGGGAAAAAATCTTAGCTAGTATGCAATTGTCTTCCCAGCACGGATAACTTGAGTGTGTCAAGTTGATCGGTAACGATCATTTCGTGTCCTGTGCACATGGGACTCATCGTTTTCTATCGGTTTGAAGTACTGCCCATAGTATTGTTTAGTTGACCCATGGAAAGACGAATAATGGGGAGGCGAATTTCATAAATGCTATCGCGTCAATTCTGAATACGGATGTGATCATATGATGGCGATAATACAAATAAAAGCACACAATTGGTTTGAATCATCTTAGTGTCTGCAACCAAAACCTGATTGTAATTTTCTTGTTAATGAACTCTGCCTTAAATCTGTTAATTATGATTAGTATAATAATATTAAGTTTGAAAGAAATATTGAAATAATCGAAGAATTCACGCGTAACATCAGAAAATTAATGCAAATGCATATACATCTTCCATTGAATCTGTTAATTCAGGCACAAGCTAATATCATCATCTGTCGAACTGTGCTGCGAGCATGGCTTAAAATTCGAACATTTTTTGATCGGGAGGAAATTTGCTCGAGGAATTGCTTGAATTTAAGGAAATGTAAAATTTAAAGACTTGTCGTCACAACTAAGAGATTCCCATTTCATTTGTATGGCAATCACGGCCCTCATTATGAGTATCACTTCCTTTTCACTGTATATTGTCGCTAGAGTTGTAAACCGATATAACCCACTCGTGACAATCGATTTTATTCTAGTTCTGCATTAAAGCGCATTATTCAACGAATACAGTGCACTAGATACGACATTATGTTGAACGTACAAAACGAAAGTGAAATCGATTGTCGCGAGTGGATTATTTCAGTTTCCAACTCTAGCATGGTGCTCCAAGAAATTTAGTATAAGTATTCGCAGAATTGGTCATGTTTGTAGTCTAGTAAAACATTAATATGCGTATTTCAGGGTGTAAGAAGAGTTAAGAGATAAATTCATTCGAGTATGTGTTAACGGTTTTCTTCAGTTTTTTTAAATACTTCAAGAATAAGGATTTTGGTACGTTTTTAATTACATTTGTGTAACTTTAATTACATTAATTACAGAAAATTATTTTTAATTACATTAATTACGTAATCAAATTGAAGTACGTGTTTTAATTACAGTAATTACACTGGCACTGCTTTGATTACGCGAAATTAAATTTAATTACATGAAATACTTAATTTTCATTTTTAATTACTTAATTACATAGTTAAACACCTTGTACTTTAAATCCAACGCAGTCAAAAAGGCTATTGCATGCCCCTCGTTTAAAGTACAAGATTTTATTGATTTTATGCCTCAGAAAGGTTTCAATTGTTATTCTGTTTGTTACAAATAGAAAACAAAACATAAAAATAATCCCAAATTATTGAATAATGAATCAATAAACATATTTTTATTTCTACTGCGTATATTGTCAGTCTAAATAAAATAAATTGATTGAATCAACAAGAAATCTCTTTTAAAAACAAACATATTTTTTTGTTGACCCAGCTGCCAAATTTGACATCTTACGTCAAAACCATAAAAGCTCTCTTGTAAATTCGAAAATATTTTCTTTTTGATTTAACAATCCATGGGTTTTTAGAAACAAAGATACTGGATTGTTGAAATAATAATGATTTCTTTTTGCAGCCAAAACAAAATGAAATTCTTATTAAATTTACGTCAAATATTATTACGTTTAAAATATTTTTTTCTGCGTGCACGATTCAAGCAAAAGTTTCCACGGGAAATTATTAGTTTTTCTTTATGGAACGATTTGCCCCAAAAATCGTTTGTTTTACTTTGAAAATTTGGAAACTATCCTCCTTCTAGTAGTTCTCACTTCGAAATGTAGGAGGCGGAAGCTTGGAAAAGTTTCACTGCAAGACGCCAATTTCTTCATACCTTTTCACTTTCATCATGACTTATCAGTGGCTACATCTGGCAGTAGTTTTTGCGGTAATTCATCAATAGTATTCTAGGCGAGCCACCTATTTCTCAAATGATGAAACTATCTCTATGCAAGAAACTTCTTGTAACGCAATCTCGCATTTCGCATTCCATGGTGTTTGTCTCTACTTATCCTACTGCTAAAAAGTATATGGATGACAGTTGGCTCGTATTGCGACTTCGTCCTCTAATTTCCTGCGACGCTTATTATTGACGGTTCTTATTATTATCTCGACATCTTAAGGACTAAAGAGCCTGAATTTATAAAGAGACGACATGTCAAAATTGGAACAATCGATTTTCTGTCAAAGTCATACGAAACGTCATTCCAATCGAGCAGAAGACCTGTCAAATGGATAAGATGTCGCCTCTTTATAAATTCAGGCTCTTTATTAAGGACTACATCTGACTAATTATGGTAATGACGCGTTCAGCCTGTTAAAGAGTGTTTTAAAAAACTTTGCCCATTGAATAATTTCCTATTGTTTCGGAGTCATGTTCTGTGATGAAATGAAAATTAAATTGCCCAGCTTGATTATTTTTTCAACTGATCTTGCAATACTCAAACGTAAATCGCAACGTCACAAATAAACAAAAACAACGGAAAAAGGAAAACAAACATTCGCTGTTCTGCGGTGCGGGTTTTCGGTTGAAGAAGTTCGATCAGTTAGGTCTGTGGTAGGTGGAAGTGCGCGCGACGGACGAAATCGGAGTGTTTTTCTGTTGCTTCTAGCAGATTGGCAAAGGGGTGGGAGGTGAAAATTTAGTTCAACGCAACAACTGTGCTCTCGCGAGACGTAATTCGCAAACATCGGCTAGATATCCAGAAAACTCCGAGAAGGACTGAACAAAAGGTTCTACCAGACTAAATAAATTACAATTACAGCAAAGCAAGAATGAAGGATTGCATCCGGTAGAATGTTCCGTTTTAAAACGTAAGCATTGGATTTTAGAAAGCTCTGCGTCGTCATTTGACCTACTATCGGAGGTGATTGGTGTTGGCTGACAAACAAACAAAAGTCATACTCTTATCAAGTTGCTCAAATCTCAACCGAAAATGGCACTGCTTCCACCAGACCCGGTCTACTGTCTCAAGGCACCGAACCGTAATAGCTCATTCCATTCGTTGTGCTTCCACACGTCCGAACGGCTTTATGCCGGTACCGCCCATGGAACCGTCCAGCTGTGGGATCTGCAGGTAAGTAGCTGTATGTGTAATAATTAGCCATTGAAATTCATTCTCCCTCCCGCAGACCAATCGATCAACGTATCAGCTGTCGGTGGGCAAGAGTCCCATCATCGGCGTAGCGCACACCGAAGATGCCTTGATAACTCAGGAAAAGGAGGGCACCGTCAAGCTTTGGGAGCTAACCAACTCGGCGTACGTCCTCCGGCACGAATCCGCCACCGATCACGTCGGATTTTGCCGTTTTGTGTTCCACAAAGATGCTGTGATAATTCCCCGTGGGGAATCGAACATTTCCATTCTCTGCGGTCAAACGTTTGCCGAGCGGCAACTCCTCAGTCCAGCCCAGGTGGACAGCAAGCTACCTCCTCTCGGGACGGTGATGTGCCTCCTGCCGGTGGAGATACAGGAGAAGCCTTACCTGCTGACCGCTTACGAGTCGGGAACGCTCGTACTCTGGGACCTGAACGGCTCGAAGCCGATAAGCCATCTGCGGGTGAGCGAAGACGAATGCCTGATGGCCATGGATTACGATCCGTACACCAATCGGGGCGTTTGCGGCGGAACGTCGGATAAGATTTTCGTCTTCTCGCTCGATCGCCAATCGATGGAGATTCGCAAAAAGTCTGAAATAGCAATCAAGAATGCCGGCATCAGCCGGTTGAAGATCCGCAAGGACCTGAAGGTGTTTGTCAGCGCCGGACGGGACGGAAGGATCCGCATTTTCTCGTGGAAAAGTCTGAGGCCACTGGCCGTGCTGACCGAACACCGGGGTGAACTGCTGGACGTAATCTACTCGGAAGAAAAGGTCTCGATGTGGAAGGCTGTCATCATGGCTGCCGCCGGGGCGGATGGACAAATTTCGCTGTGGGATCTGTACAACTGATGGTCATCCGACGCCGACGCAGCCGCCATTGCCAGAGCAATCGAAGGAGGAAAGCAAGGATAAGTACTTTTCTTCATTTTTTTCTTTTATCTACGTTCACTATACATGTTCCAGGTTGCTCTTAATTAAGGAAAAAAACTAGTTATTTTGAGAAAACATTGCTATCAGTAGGGTGGCAACTTACTGTAATTAGGGTTCTATGTGGTACACACGTATGTACAGCTCACAATTTACAATGCCGGAATAACTTATCGATTGGACTGATTAAAATGTGAATCGCCTATAGTTCTGATTGTTGCTACTGTTTTTAAATTATTATATTACATGATTATTCCCTACTACTTAACAACACATACACGTACACATTTTATGCTTCTCTTTTGCCTAGTGTTGTTTTCTGAAATCTTGTTTGTTGAACATATATTAGTTATTGTAACGACGAATCTACTAAACGACTAGAAATAGCAATATGTAATAAATATTGTTTTGCTACATGTTTTACATGAAATATTTACACGGGTCGGTAGCGATTGGTGGTTTGTTTGGATGCCGAAAACTCCGTGGTCGAACTCTGTCATCGATTCATTGCTGGTAGCCAGGTAGTAGTTACCCACGAACTTCGATGGTTTGGTAGAACAGATCGTTGAAATTTTTTAGAGGTTGCGTAGGTGGAGGATCTTTTTGGGTTGGAAAATTCCTCAATATAAATGGGCATATATTAGCTTTGCACACAATATACTAATGTGAACAAATTGTACAGTCTTAGAAAGCTAACAACCTCTGTTCGAGGAACACTTGAAGACAAACGTAAAGTCCCCGTTAGGACGCAATTGCTAAAGAAGGTGGAATTTTTTTCAATGCATCGCTAGCTCGTGAAGGTTTTCAAGAGGTTCTGAACAGACTAGGGTAAAGGCCCACGCACATTAGATCCGGATCGGACGCGTTGCGGCAAAGTGACAGCTAAATCTATTTTTATTTTTTTATTTTATTTTTATTTAATACATCCATCTGACAATAAGTCTTAATGAACCAGAAGCCATAACAAATACTAAATGTATCTGGAGTTAATAATACGTCTCTGGAATTGAGCAGCAGGTTCCCCAAACTCGAACAACTCTTCAACTGTAGAAAACGTGCGAATCATACTCGTAACAGGTTCATGTTGTCCAAAAGAAGAGCGGTGTGAGTCTTGACGCAATAGGAACGTTGAGCGTAGAAATCTGCTTGGCGCACGAAAGTTCAAGCAAGAGAGTAAGTGGGTAGAGTCATTTTCACCACTTAATAACTTCGCGACGAATGTTGCCTGTTGAATTTGTCGCCGTCGTTGTAACGTGTCCATGCTTAGCAAGCGACATCTCTCAGCATACGGAGGTAAGTTTAGTGGATCTCTCCAAGGAAGTTGTCTTAATGCTCGACGAATGAATGTTTTTTGGATACGTTCTATTCTGATGTTCCAGGAAAGTTGGTAGGGAGTCCAAACAACAGATGCAGTCTCGATAATCGGACGAACGAGTGAACAGTACAGTGCTTTTAAACAGTACGGATCCGAAAAATCTCTTGAGATTCTTGATATAAAACCAAGCTGACGATTAGCCTTAGTGATTACCATTGAACGGTGTAAGTCAAACGTAAGTTTAGGGTCCAGCATTACACCTAGGTCGCTTACTTGTTCTGCTCTTTCTAGTACAAATCCATCAATTGAGTAATCGAATACGATTGGCGTTCTTGTGCGATTAAATGTCATGACCACACATTTTGATATACTGACGGAAAGCTTGTTTAAGCGGCACCAATCAACAAATTGGTATAACATTGCTTGGAGCTGACGGCAATCCTCGACGTTCTTGACAACAATGTATAGTTTGAGATCATCGGCGTATATGAGCACACAACCACTCGGCAAGAGGAGCGTCACATCGTTGAAGAAGATTGTGAACAGCAATGGTCCTAAATTGCTGCCCTGGGGAACACCGGAGGTTGCAGCAAATGGTGATGAAGTGCACGAACCCAGCTTGACACGAAGTGTTCTGTTGGAAAGATATGATTTCAGCCAATCAACCAAACCATCCGAAATTCCCAGGCGAGACATTTTCCGAAGAAGAATACCATGATCGATGCAATCGAATGCCGCTTTCAGATCGGTATAAACGGTATCTACTTGAGCCCTATTTTCCAAGTGATTTATACATGTTGAGGTGAACTCCAGCAAATTTGATGTAACTGAGCGTCCTGGCATAAATCCGTGTTGCGTTGCTGAAATGTAGCTCTTGACATGAAAGAAGATAGCATCGTTCACAATGATCTCGAATAATTTTGAAGCTGCAGATAGACTTGTTATGCCACGATAATATGTCACGTCACGTTTGTCGCCCTTCTTATGGACAGGGAACATAAAGGAATGTCTCCATATTTCGGGGAAAACTCCTTGGTGCAACGAAGCGGTAAAGATGCGAGCTAGGGGATCAGCTAAAACAGCAACACAGCGGCAAAAAATGATTGCAGGTACACCATCAGGACCCGGTGAAACAGATTTCTTCAACTTCCTAACAGCTTTAACGACATACATATTGCTAACCACAAATGTACGCAAATCGATGAGACCCTCAGGAACATTGCAAGCCGCTCTTTCTACTTCATCTGCGTTGGCGGCTGAATCCGAAAAAAACAGAACTGAAGTGGCGGGAAAATAGATCACACGATTCGAGCATAGAAGTAGACTCCAAATCGCCAAAAAATACGGATGAAGGAATATTCGACGATTTTCGCTTGGAGTTCACAAACTTCCAGAAGCTCTTGGGATTTCTACGTAAATTGGTCTGGACACGCAAGACATATGACTTGTATAGGGTTGAATTAAGCTTACGATAGGCGTTGCAAGCGCGATGAAAGTTGCGTTTCGTTTCAGAAGTTCGATGTCGGCGAAGTTAACGCTGCCAGGAATTTTTATCGCGTTTCAAAAGCCGCAGGAGAGGAGAACTCCAAGCAGGAGATATAGGAGGTTTTCGTCTTGGAGTGTTATCGGTGAGCCAATTGCAAATTATGTTGCAAAATTGTGCTGCCATATCGTTGACGTCATTTGTTGCCAGAATACTGCTCCAATCACAGCTCATCAGGAACTCGTTGAGCATGACGAAGTCGATTTTTGAGTAGTCGAGCGTATGTTCACCAGCATCAAGGGATTCCACACGGTCAACACAATCGGATTGAGTTGGTAAGGAGAATAAAATCGGTGGATGATGCAAATCAATAGCCAGCAATGGGGACACCGCTTCGTTAACTACAATGTTGCAATCGGAATCACAGAAAACCAAATCTAGGATGCGCCCCAGGTGATTGCGAATAGAGTTGTATTGCCGGATATTCAGGAAGCTCGTTCCATCCATCAGAGCAGCACTGGCAGCAGACGTCGTGGAAGGATCAAGGTTTAAGATTCCATCATCAAGACAATCCCATGCTATGTGTGGTTGATTGTAGTCACCACAAGCAAGCAAAAGGTCACCATCTGGAGTTGCATCACGTAATTCACGAAGAGTAGCTAAATGGGCATTGATAACACCTATGTCCCGACTACGATCTGGAGGAATATATACAGCGCAAAGCTAAAGCGCAAAGCTATTGTCTAACTGTCAAATTTACGTCAACGCAACGCAAACGGATCTAATGTGCGTGGCCCTTAAACGCTCCTATACTACCCATAATCGCATATCAGTCCCATATGGATAGGAAATCAAGCAAAGATGGGACTGATATGCGATTATGGGCAGTATAGTTGCGGTACGTTAGAAGCGTTAGGTTCCTATAGTTGTGTATTGAGTCTCTATGCACAACTATAGGAACCTAACGCTTCTAACGTACCACAACTAGGAGCGTTTCCCCTAAGGAACCGTACGGAGAACTGAAGGGCTTTAGTGTTGGCAGGTTCTGTGGCTAAATATATCAATGCACAATTCAGTGTCAACATTTCAAAGGGGCGTAATTTCTTTTATAAACAATGACTTTAGACGTCAATTTCTCGTGAATGATATCTTACCTCTCCAAAATTACAATGCTAGCAGGTAGAGGAAACATTCCTCTACCTGGTGGTGTTATTATTTTCCATGAGTGAGCTTTTATTTGCGAGAAATCTATGGCTAAAGCCATTGTTTACAAATGCGATTACGCCCCTTTGAAATGTTGGCACTGAATTGGAAGTTACTGGAAGCAAGTCGTGGTCTGTTAACGGGAAACTAGAAAGGGTCCAGTATAAGAGAGGAGCGGATTCAAAACAAACTGCTTTGGCAACCTATGCCTAGGCAGTGATGCAAAATATCATGACACTCACGTGACACTCGTCTTCGCATCAACCGACTATCGCTTACAGATCGTTTTGTCACGCAGTGAGAGTTAGAGCCATGGCAAACAACAATCACCAGTAATGGTCGCTGCTCACAAGCAAAACTCACTCGCTGCTCGCTGCACTCACACTCGCTGCTGATGATGAAAAGCACAACGAAAACAGTGAAGACTTCTGCAGTACGATCATGAGAAAAAGCGAAACGACAGAAGAAAATGAAAACAATGCCTACGCATTCCAAGTTCGTCTCGCCAGGCGCGACTGTGTAAGTTACAAGCAATGCAGGCAACATGAAACGGAAGCTGTTGGGCTCACTCACCAACACACTCACATAAGCAAGCAAAGCAGCAACTGCTTCAAAACGAGCACAGATGAGTGTCGTGATTGTCGGGAATGACCAGATCGGTGATGCATCACACAGAAGACGACATTCACCAGTTGCTTTTTACTTCTTTCGTCAACTTGATGGATGGTCATGGAGAGAGCTTCGACGAGCACATTGATAGGAATGTACAAAGCGTTACTACCATCAGCTGTTTGGCGATCGTGATTGTGATAGGTCGCTACTCTGTGCCTAGGTGGTTTCTAGCCACTGCCAATGCAATCAAGATAGGCGCTGCTCAATTGGCGTTGACGGCACCGTCGAAAAATCGTCTCTTCTAGAACATATTGACAGTTTCTTATGGGATTTCTCGGTGGAGTGAAAGGATAGTACGAAGTCCGCCATGTTT